TGAGCAGTACAATATACTTTTATTACCTCTTACTATAGAGTAGATAGTACTTCAACCTTTAGCAGAACGACCTTTTCTAGCGTGATGCAATTTAAGTTTTTTGAAAAGACGTTCCCTACGAAGCTATTTTATTAGTAAAGTATTGCGTGATTGCTGGATTGGTTTTGTTTTTTAAAAGTTTACTTATACCTGGTTTTAAACTACTATTCTGTATAAATACTTGTGTAATGTCGATCTCGGAAATCATCGGTTACGAAATGTCCAAAAAGATCTTTGTTATATATAAATATACAATATATATATAGTTAGGTTAGGATTTATATATACGTATACATATAGTATTTATGTATATTTTATAATTTATATTTATGTATATAGTCATATATATTACATCATATTTTTGTTCTATATGAGTGTTGCAAAGCTAAAACCTGCGTTTTCGGCTTTTGCCGGCTCCGCTTTTCAGAAACTGTGATCAGATTCTTGATGAATTATAATAAATTATATTTAATGGATCATGTGTCTGATAAGTCGTTTATATAAAATTGATTTCGGAAAATTCACAAATGCTCTACGCTTATTACGTTTAGATTGAGAACCTATATACTTAATATAGCGAATAAGAATACGAGTAACCTAAATCCTGAACTTAAATATTATTTGCTAACTGCAAAGTTGTTACATATAACAGTTGTTATTGTAAATATTTTTTTTAAATTCAATTTTGGAAATGCGGACCCACAACGAAAAATCAACTAGGAATATTTTTAGCATACAAAATTTTTGTTTTGTTCTTTATTTTTTTTGTTTAAAAGCCATTTAAGGCTAATTAAAAAGCGAAAAACTTTACAAATGTGAAAATGTTAAATCAACTTAATTGTTACACATATTTGTATTGGTGATTATTACTATAATCGTTATAATCATCTTTATACACATTCCAATTGTTAGTTTGTTTAGTCCAATTATTAGTTTGTTTAGTTTGACCATTTTTTGGTATTTTTGGTATTATAGTAGGTATTGGTGCTGATTGTGATGAATATGGTAGAGGCATTTGGTTGATTTGATCATTATATTTTTTAGCAGACAATGAACGACCAGGATTTGTATATTGTGGTCTACGAGACGCGCTCGCGTAAACGTCATCTGCATAGGCTCTCTGTGAATAATTATTATTGCCATCATCTGCATAGGCTCTCTGTGAATAATTCTTGTTGCCGTCATCTGCATAGGCTCTCTGTGAATAATTCTTATTGCCGTCATCTGCATAGGCTCTCTGTGAATAATTCTTATTGCCGTCATCTGCATAGGCTCTCTGTGAATAATTATTATTGCCGTCATCTGCATAGGCTCTCTGTGAATAATTATTATTGCCGTTCGTTGATTGAAGCGTTATGGTCACAGGATCTCTATTTACAGATACGTCATTAACGGTAGTCGGATAGCGTGATAAGTTACTACCTGGTATACGATTTGAAGGAATCCGAGTGGGGCTGGTTGGATGGCGACGTATACCTGTGTACGGCGTGGGCATAGATTTCTCACTGGTCGGGTATACGTATCCTTGATTATATCGTGGCGGAACAAAGTTGCCTATGGCATTGGGATCGCGACCAAGTTCAATATAGCCATCATCATTGTTGCTGGGATTGCTATTATTACTGTTATTACTGTTGTTGCGATGCAATGAGGCGGAAGGTGATAAATGGTCATTTGATGGAGGTGAGATTCCTCCATCCTTTTTTTCAAAATTAGCTTTTGCAATAAGACTATTTGCCTCTTCTTCAATTGATATATCCTTACATTCACGTATACCAAATACTAATACGAAAATTCCTAAAAATACCTGAATATGTATTATAGATATGATCACTTTAGTTAAACATAACATAAATTTTACAAAATCAAAAAAAGGCATTTCTTTACTCACTAATACTGATCCCTGAATAATAGCAAATATTAAAGTTGCATTCTGTGCAGAGGCAACTTTATCAGGGCATCTAGGTGATGTAGGGTCATTTTGAAAAAAACGTTCACTTTGACATTTCCGAATTGTATCATTCCGAAAATTTTGAGCAAGGAAAATGTTTGCAACGCTTATTCCAATGAGAATCGCAGATGCAAGCCAATATTGAATGATAAAACTCCTCAGCAGGGATTTTTTACGCTAAAATAAAGAGTATATTCCATGTTTTAGATGAAATAGATCAATCAATTAATTAATTATATATCAATTCTCACAAAACCTACATTATAACCTCCAATAATTCCTGATATCCCAAAGGGTGTAAGTACCCCATATATAGCAGCGAATCCAATAAGGAAGAAATTCACAAGATGAAAAACGGCAACTATAAAATACATTAATTATTAAATTTGTATACATTTACTTTTTACATCACTTACATTCGCTATTTAATGTTCAATACACTTACAATTCAGCCCAAGGAACGTCAGAATTACCACAGCGATACAATAAATCTGTTCGTGAGATATTTATTTATTAGTCATGAAAGAACAGAGATAACAAGATATAAGTATTAATGTTTAATAAAACTAACAGAAAATAAGGCACCAATTCCGATGAGTATAACACGTGCAGCCATTATAGTTAAAAGTTATAATTCATGAAACGATTGTCGTGAAAAAGGAGAGTAGTGGGTTCGTAAGGACAGAATTGCACAGCAATTTAAGTAATTCACGAATTTGGACCTGCCAAAAACGCAAAGTATTAATAAAGTGAAAGACAGGGTGTTTTTCCCCAGCGGCTATTAGACGAGCTAATAAAACCGTTAACTCTTTTGACTATCTTACAGTAAGAGGGGCTAAACAATAAATAACCTAAATTAAGTTGTTTATTAAACACTTTCAGAATTTATATGTTGTATAACAAAACATTTGAAACAATTAAATAACTTTGTGGAATTGCCGAGCAATGTACACGTGATGTGACGCGTCTCTTCGCATCAAATTCTATAAATATTAAATATTTTCGGATTAGCATTGTTTTAAGACCATAATATGATTAAATATTCTACGGAAAGTCCCCAGAAACATTATCATGATGGTTTAGCCGCTTTTAGAAAAAAAGAATTCGAAAAAGCGCAAACCTATTTTACAAAGGTTTGTTTATATATGTTATAGTATCATATATATTTTAATATCGATATAATTTTTTAATAATATATATATAAAATTCAATTTAAAAATTATAAAGGCAATCGTACTGGACCCAAATAATATTCAACTTTATGATTCTCGTGCAGCGACACGTGAAAAACTTGGACAGCTTACTTCTGCCCTACAAGATGCCGAAATCATAATGAATTTAGACAAGACTTCGGCCAAGGTTAAAATTATATATTTGTAAATTAATAATTTTTGTTAATTTTTGAATTTTTAAATCTTGATCTAATTTTTAGGGTTTTTAGGGTTATCTTCGTGCGGGTAAAGTGTACCGATTATTAGGGCAAAATGCAAAGGCATTAGAAATTTACAATAATGGGATTAAAGAAGTAAAACCAAATGATCAATTGTTACATGTATTTATCAAACTTTATTATTCATACAATTATTTAAATATATTTTAGTCATAAATTGTACGTAATGAAAGTTAATCTTTTTTTTTAATAATTTCAGATATTGCATCGATTTGCTAAGGAGATGCAAGAAAATTCACAGGTTTGTTAATGTTGATCTATCTATATTTATAATGTATTATATATATATAATATATATATATAATACATATATATAATGTATAACTTATCATCTAACTTAATGCATTTTGATTGATTAATTATGAAAATAAGGAGTCGACTGTTAATAAATCAACTAAAACCTGCGACATAGTAGTAATGTTTCCGATTGAACTTACTCATGAGATTTTCGAAAGTTTACCGTTGGCTAGTCTTTGTAAAGCATCGACCGTTTCCAAACGTTGGCGACATTTTATTATAAATTCACAATCTTTATGGAAAAATCTAGATTTCACTCTTAATCGACCATATAGTAAAGTTACTGATCAAGTTGTTAGTACATATGTGAATCGTGGAAAATTACGAATTCAGTCATTTATATGTCGTAATGCTGAAAAACTTAGCGAAAGAACTTTAAAGGCCTTTAGAGCGGTTCCATGCCATTATTTAAAAATATTCGAATTAACATCAAATGGGTCAATCAATGAAACCGCAATAGTTATATTCATTCGTATGATTGGTTTACAATTAAGAACAATTAATCTTTCAAACACTCAGGCTTCTAATAGAACAGTTAGAACAATATTAATGCATTGTCCTCAACTTGAAACATTAAATTTGTCATTATGCAAGGTAACAACTCAAGCGTTCGATCTAGGAGATGAACAATGTAAAGCGTCAAAAGTTAGAGATCTTGACTTGAATGGCTGTCGAAACATTGACAAAGCAGTGGTTTCCTTTATTATCATTCTATTTCCAAATATTACACACTTAAATATACATGGAATTTCTGGAATAACAACGAATACTCTGGTCAACTTGGCCTATCTTTCGAATTTGGAATGTATTAGCATGTTTGGAAATATGCATGAGGATGGATTGGGTATCGAAGATGCATTCTTAAAATTCTCAGAGTCTTGTCCACTGCTTCGACAATTTGTTTTGGAAGAGTGTCCAGACTTGACCGACAATTGCATTCGTTATTTAGTGATATCTTGTGTTAA